ACAGGCTGTTTAAACGACATGCAAAGCGATCACTCCCTTTTTGTGTGTTGAAATATGGCTCAATCTAGAATAAATGCTACCACAGTAACAAGGATCCATTCATATAGATCCAATCTTTGCGGAATCAAAGACTTCTTGACAGTTAGTAAAGAATTCTGCCCAGTTACCTGTTCCTGACTAGGCCTTGTCTTCCCTGTTTCAACAGGTTTGGTCAAGCCTTTATGTAGCCGTTTGTCTGGGGACTGCACAGGTGTATTAACATGGGCTCTGGATTGGCTGTTTCTTCTGTCTGATGATGTTGAAGAGGTCCTAGAATTGTCAGGAGCCTCTTTCCCATTCTTTGTCTGATCAGGAGAACCTTTATTACTCCCTGAGTTGTTTGGAGCAATTTTGAGTTTGGTCTTGACTTCGTTCTCAATCTGCTCTTCCTCAACATCTCCAATGCTCTTTCTCTCTTTTTCACCCTTTGGTTTGTGACTACAAACGGGATGGCCCTGCCCTCTGTTTTTGCTGTCTCCAGGACTTTTACTTTGCTCGTGTGAAAGTTTCCCATTTCCATCCCTGTCGTCCTCTCTGGAGTATTTTAGCAAATGTCTTTTTTTCCAAATGCCTCTGTCCTCTGGATTTGCGGATTTAGCTTTATTGCTGACCCTGCTAGGATCCTGGTAAGCAGTGTCTCTTTTGTGTACTCTCTCCGACTGATGTCCTCTATATCTAAAACTTTGTCTAGGGTTTCCTCTACTTTCTCTGACCACAAAGACATCACAGTCTTTTGGACAGTCACTAGCACACTCTTCTCGAACCCTTTCTATTCGATCCCTAGGAAGACAACTTGACCCTTGAGGGACATTCCTTGGGTTTTTGGGGATGTCCTGATTTCTTCTATAGTTACTAACTGCATCACTTTCTTGCCCCACTTTAGCACAACTGGACTCTTGAGGACAACTTTTGCCATCTCTGGGAAAGTCGTCAGCACCTTTACTTGGGATCTCATTGTTGTTCAACTCAGCTTCTTTCCCTTTGTAGTGAAAAAACCCAACATTGTCTTCTTCTTCACTGTCCTCTTCTTCTGCTTCTTCCTCTGTCTCTTCTTCATCCTCCTCGTCCTCAGCCATGGGGGCTTGTACGAAGGTTGTCTCCGTGATAGGCTCTGGTCGCTTGTAGACCGTTGTTGTTGCATCTTGCTGCAGAACCTTGTAAAAGCCTTCCGAGTGTTCCCAAGCTTCCTCCGGTTTACAGCTCTCACGGACGTCGCGAGACGTGCCAGGACACTCAGCACCATCTGCACCTTCATGGCAGTCCATTCCTTCCATGTAGCTTTCATCTTCAGGACAACAGTGGACATAGTATGTCATCCTGTCCGCTTCGGTTTGCAGTTCCTCATCTTCCTCATAATCATGTTGCTCTTCTTCTTCTTCTTCCACGGATACAGCATTATCATACTCGGACAGTGAGTCCTCCTCCATGCTGTCCTGCTGAAGAGGGCTTTCACCTTGGATGGAGTCGTCCCCAGACCCATCACTTAAACAGTACCTAGCTGGCACAGGAGAGGGTGGTTGGATGTCCAGCTTTTCTTGTCCAAGTTCCTCAAAAACTGGATCAACTCCATCTCCAGAGAGCTTTTCACTTCCAACAGGTGCAGTGCTAGAGGCTGATGGGTTGAGCTCTGAAACAATGGCTCTGGTCCCCGGTCTTCTCCTGAGAGCCATGACTGGCTTCATCAGCTCCACAGAAGTGAGATACTCTCAGCCCTGAAACAAAGAGTTCAAAATTAAAGTAAAAAGTGCCAAATGTAATTAAAATGGGTTTTGGTGAGTATTTATTTACTTGGTGGGTAACTTGGTGACTGTATAAGCAACTGTTTAAAGTTGAACTGATGTAGTCAATATGTCATTGATGTGATCGATTCAAATCAAAGACATACAAACCATCTATAAAGAAAACATCATCTAACTACTTTATCTACTCAGGATTTTTATCTACCATCAAAAGGATGGTTTCTCAACAGAAATCCATGTGGCGACATGTATGTGGAATATTCCTCATATTAAACCACTTAATTAACAGAATCAAAATCATAATGTATCTGGAAGTGGAAGACAAGTATTTCACTATTACTTAGATTTAAATAGATGATGTTCATTAATGTCACTTGAATTACAAGCAGGGTTCCCACATCTTTTGCCCATAAATCTCAATAACATTTCCAGGGCTTCACACACATTTTGAACAATGTATTTCTATGCATTTTCTATGCCATTTTAGATCATTCATGGTTACTGGATCATTTTCAAGACAATTAAATATTTTAGAGCAAAAAATACATATAAAAATATGTTCACATTTCAATGACTTCTTGGGACTTATTTTCAGTATCGGAATGCACTAAAACTTAGATTTAAATAGATGATGTTCATTAATGTCACTTGAATTACAATCAGGGTTCCCACATCTTTTGCCCATAAATCTCAATAACATTTCCAGGGCTTCACACACATTTTGAACAATGTATTTCTATGCATTTTCTATGCCATTTTAGATCATTCATGGTTATTGGATCATTTTCAAGACAATTAAATATTTTAGAGCAAAAAATACATATAAAAATATGTTCACATTTCAATGACTTCTTGGGACTCGCACCCTCAGCATCCCGGGACAGCGAGGCGCTTTATGAGATTTTTTTAAAGAGACAGTCAAATACCACAGTAACGAGTACTAGCAAATTAATCATTTATATTATTCCTCGACTACAGAGAACAATTGTCTTGATCAATCAAATATAGTGACTATTAAATAGGAAGAGAAATGTAATTGTGTGCATACTACATACACTGCATATATTATAAAGCAGTATGTAGTACGCAAAACAATAAAATCCCGGCTGTGTTTGAAACCAACCTTATACAGTGCACTTCGAGGGGACAGCCATTTGTCTGTAGTGGACATTATGTGCACTCATTCAATCCCATAATTCACCTCAAAAACGAGTGTAGCTAAAGGCTACCCATGCACTGTATGCGCCAAGCCACATGAATTCCAAAAGATGCCATCTTCTGCATGGCGCACTTTGTTTCTGAATTCGCTCACTTATTATAGCACTTATTCATTGAACTATAGTGGACTAATGTAAGGAAGAGTGAAAGAAGGTATGGTTTCAGATACAGTCGTAGTATGTTGTCACATGAATGTTCTGTTTCCATATGAAATCAGCGAGTCTGATATCATGTCAATTCCTTAAAATAATATAATCTTATTACGGTAAACCCCATGCTGAAATGTATTCAGTGCAACCCACACCGTGCATGGGTATTTTTTAACTACTAGCCACTGAGTACATTGGTTGCAGGGTTGCCAGTTTTCACAACAAAACTAGCCAAAAACTATAGGGGGGTCCCCCGGTAATAATCGCTTTGCAGGGGCTAAATATCACGTTATTGGGGTGGCTTCAACCCGCAGATATGAAAAACAACCCGTGGCAACGGTGTTAAAGTAGCCCAATTCTTGGCAACACTGATTGGCTGTACACTCGTTATTGCAGTGTATTATGGGATTGAATGATTGCTTTCATGTTATGGTTTTGGACACCACTACAGTGGCTGTTCCTTCAAAGAGTGCGCTATATAAGGGTATAGGCGGTGATTTTGGAGAGTGCATGATTTCCTACTTGTTGAAATGCGATCAGATTGGTGAGATTTTGATGAAAATTTGTAGGTAAAGAGGTCTTTTGTCTATTGTCAATATATGGTATAAAGTAGGCTACAGCTCAAAAGTCACTTTCAAACCAAGCAACTTTCTGTTGGTACACATGGCAAATTCACATGACCAACTGAACCCAATGTAAAATCTGTAATGAAATCTTTCACCTTCATGCGAAATTACAGACCGGTGGCGGCTCGTCGGGGGAGGCACAGCTTCCCCATAATTTTGAGGTGAAAATGGGAGGAGGACGATTTAATGATAATAAAAATCACAATTCATTTCAGTTCATGTCTCAGAATGTGTATTTTTTGTTTGTAATTTCACAGCTGAATGTGCTGAATCTGCTGATGTAATTACAGCCGCTAATGATAGAGAAGGGTAGGGGGAGGCCGGGGGAGAGCTGAGCTCTCGTGCCTCCGTTGGTAAAAAAATGTGCCAATCAGCATCGAGTGTTCAGTTTCAGCGCTGAGGAGTGTTGAGAAAAGAAACCTCGCAGGGGAGGTTAGCCTCCTTCTGATATCAACCAATCATCACAGAGACGTAAATTATGTGATATTAGTTTGAACGTCTCCCGCTGATAATGTACCAAGTGCTTATGACGAGTAGCGATATTGAATATTTGATCGCCAACAGATTTACCAAGCTGTCATTCAAACAGTATACAAATTTAGGGAAAACAGCCTAAGCTGGATATAGGCTACAGCAGTCGGCTTAATTGAATGGCAAAACAGCCAGCTCTCTTTTAACACAGACTTTTAAGAAGGGATGGATGCTTGCTTCAAGTGATAGGCCAGGTAAGTGAAATTATATTATCTTGCTGTGCGTGTCGTTTTCTTTATGTCTTCTGACTAAAAGCAACCAAAAAGCCATTTTAAAGTGGTTAAGCAAATAATAATAATAGGCAGGGATCCCAGACCAATACAATTAGTGCGCCTCCTCTATTTTAAAACCCACGAGCCGCCACTGCAGACCACAAGGATTCCTATTAAATTGGACATGGCGACTAGTTGGTTGTAGAGGGAGGGACATTGTAGTGAGAATTTGATTGGACAAAATCAGCTTAGTGCAGGATGAGTCATCAAAATTTTGGTCCATTTTCTAGAAGAAGAAAAAAGAAAGACCGTCAACTTTAAATGCATTTATATGCTAAAAGCTACTTTTGTCAATGTTTATTGGCATATAGATGACCTCAAGCTAACACACCTGGTCTAAAAGCCACAAAGATCTAATATTCAAGAACATTATTATTCATATCACACAATGTACTCACTTTGAAGAGCGCGTGTGTGACTGTGGGCCTTTATTTTGAAATGTCTGGAGGTCTGGGTGCAGTGTGCTGAGCTTCACTCCCTCGGTCCCTCAGCGACTCTCAGACATCATGGCGGACGCCGATTCCTGGGGTGAGAATTTCACCAAACTCTACCATTGCTTTTCTTTTCTGACCGTGCGCATTTCTAGTCATATGTTTGATCTAATCAGCTGTCATCGTGAATCGCGGCTGTCATCAAGTAATCTGTCTAAACGCGCTGTTGTTGTCCAGATGCTGATAGTTTCGAGGCCGAGGAGCCTATCAAAAAGGCGGCAGGTCATGACAAATGGGAGGGCGAGGATGAAGACGACGACGTGAAAGTTAGTAGCGAACGCTTTATTAGTCGTTCGCCAATCACAATTGGTGTTTATTTCTTTTGTACAATTGATAAGGTCTCTCATCTTTCAAGAAGTTGCATTGAGCTAACTCTAGCTAGCTGCTCTCGCTAACTCCAGAGTGTCAAAACAGCGTGGTGAGGATGAGTCTTAGCGTGTAATGTGTCCAGTTAGTTATTAGCAGAGGCGTACACCTGCTGTAGTAAGTTAGGGAATGAAATCATAGTGATTATGTTAATTCCATGCTAAAGCCAGGTCTTTAACACCTTTATAGCGTGTAGTTAGTGACTCATTTACTGTAACTTGCGAACGCTTTATTAGTCGTTCGCCAATCACAATTGGTGTTTATTTCTTTTGTACAATTGATAAGGTCTCTCATCTTTCAAGAAGTTGCATTGAGCTAACTCTAGCTAGCTGCTCTCGCTAACTCCAGAGTGTCAAAACAGCGTGGTGAGGATGAGTCTTAGCGTGTAATGTGTCCAGTTAGTTATTAGCAGAGGCGTACACCTGCTGTAGTAAGTTAGGGAATGAAATCATAGTGATTATGTTAATTCCATGCTAAAGCCAGGTCTTTAACACCTTTAGAGCGTGTAGTTAGTGACTCATTTACTGTAACTTGGCCTTTTCAAAGCAAAATATGACTGTCACCTGTTGCTCATCTCAAATGATCTCACGGTCTCAAAGTAGATTGTCTTCTTCATATTAGGACAGATTGACTTTCTAACTGTGAAATTAATGATCTCCAGTTAATCTTTTATCTTTATGCTACCTATCGTGGTGACAATGCTCTAATTTGTGGTTTGAAATTCATTTTCCATGTAGGATAATTGGGATGATGATGAAGAGGAAGAAAAGGAGGAGGAGGAAAAAAAGTCAGGTATATATATATATCAGTGATGTGAAATGCATAAATTGGTAGCTGACAAACTGAAAGAAGTTGTTGTTGTTGTCGTTTCCCCCAAAATGTATTTTCTCCTCTTGTAATTACAGTAATCAACATTTGAAATGGGTCAAAAAAAAGTTCATCAAAGTTGTCCTAAGACAAGAACACATTATGGTTTTAGGACATCTTTGATTAAAGGTTTTGATCCACTTCAAATGTTGACTAGTGTGTTTTTTGTTGTATCAGTTGACTTGTAGTTCTGTGTTACGAGTATTTATAATATTTAAGTAGTTTTTTTTCATTGTTCATAGTTGATTAAGCCGAGGCTATAAAAACGACATGCATAATTATATGAGAATTACACCAAAAATGTAAACGGCTTGAAAATTATGCACATAAATTCACATTCTTCAAAGCAGTTATTTATAAAGCTTCAGCTATGCTTCAAGTTGCAATGTTCAACTTTGAGGTGTTTTTCATATACAGAGGCTAAACCTGCGGAAAAGAAGAAACTCGGTGAGAAAATAAAAGAGAAGGAAAATGTACAAAGACAAAAACAAGAGGAGCTCCTTAAACAAGTGAGTTCGGACATGGCGAGGTTTAATTTGACCTATTTCTCGGGAAGTTATGCTGAATGTTTTCGAAGTTGTTAAATATTTCGTTTACATTGTGAAACTTTGAAAGCATTGTTTTATTTACAGTATTTTGTAACTGTCATATTTTTCTTTTCTTTTTTTATATGCACACTACCGTTCAAAAGTTTGAGGTCAGTACAATTTTTTTATTTAATAGTAGTATAATTGTGATTAAAGGATATAACAAGACTTTCACTAAGCATAGCTCCAATTTGTTTAAATGGTTACAGGAGTCAGAAAGCAGCACAGAACTCACACCAGAAGAAGAGAAACTTCGAGTGAAAAAACTACAGGAGGATTCAGACTTAGAACTAGCAAAAGAAGCATTCGGTAAGTGCTTTCTATTCATCCATATCCATATTTTTGCCCATTATAGGCCCAAATCATTCACTTTTATTCTCATTTGTAGGTGTAGTATCAAATAATGTTACAGGAATTGATGCGATGAGTCCCTCTACAAAAGAAGACTTCACAGAGTTCGAGCGGTTGCTAAAAGAAAAAATTTCTTCCTATGAGAAGTCAATACATTATTCCAGCTTTTTAGAGACACTGTTTAGGGACCTGTGTCTTTCATGCAAGTAGATTTCATTTTTTAAAGTTCTGTTCTGTCATTCACTTATGTGATTTATGTATTACTTTGACATTTTGTATCCGTTTTGCAGTGGAAGTTGAGGACTTGAAGAAAATTAGCAACTCACTAACAGTGTTACTAAGTGAAAAGCAGAGGCAAGAAAAGGTATGAAATTCATTTCTAGGGATAGTTCACCTGAAAATGTAAATTGGCAGAAAATGTACTCATCCTTTGGGCATCTAAGATGTAGATGAGTTGGGTTCTTCATCTGAACAGATTTGGTAATATTTAGCATTGCATCACTTGCTCACCAATGGATCCACTGCAGTGAATGGGTGCCGTCAGAATGAGAGTCCAAACAGCTGATAAAAACATCACAATAATCCACAAGTAATCCACACCACTCCAGTGCATCTGTTAATGTCTTGTGAAGCCAAAAGCTTTGTGTTTGTACGAAACATTCATCATTATGATGTTTTTAATTTAGAACCATTGCTTCTGGCTAAAATATAAGTGCTCTATTCATAATGTTCCTTTTTCCAGAAATATGCACATATCAAGCACCGTTTACAAGCAAAAACAGCTCTAAACAAATATGTGGGTGGATTTTGTTTGTGAGAAAACAACGGGGGATGGACTTTCTTACTGGAGGAAGCGTTATTATTAATTATAGACTCGTATTTTAACCGGAAGCATCAGTTTAAAAGTTAAAAACGCCTTAATAACTGATAATTTTTTTTATAAACATGCACCTTTTTTCTTCACAAGATGTTAATTGATGGACTGGAGTGGTGTGGATTATTGTGATGCTTTTATCAGCTGTTTGGGCTCTCGTTCTGACGGCACCCATTCACTGCAGAGGATCCACTGGTGAACAAGTCATGTAATGTGACATTTCTCCAAATCCGTTCTAAACTCATCTACATCTTGGGTGGCCTGAGGGTGAATACAATTTTTTAGCAAATGTTATTTTTTGGGGAAAAACATTTTCAATAGCAAACAATTACTAGCTTTTTTTTCAATGTTTTATTGTTTTATGTAAAAGTCTCCTGTTTTGTTCACTCCTATATACCATACCATATGCACCATTTGTATTATCCTATTGTAATTATTTAATTTTTTTGGTCCTAAATATAATTTTTTGTTTTATTCAATAGGCAAACAAAGGTAAAAAGAAAAAGAAGGGAGTTTTACCAGGAGGAGGTTTAAAAGCCACAATGAAAGATGATCTTGCAGACTATGGGGAGTTCGGCGGCGGTTATGCACAAGACTACGAGGATTTTATGTGACCAAGGCTTAACCCATTGCTAGCGTTTGCTGATTGCTGAACCACACACCTTAACAGCATGACCTTACCCCACAGTCAGGCCCACTACCAGAACCATGCTAGAAAACTCTGAACGCCATCCCACACAATGCACACTCTCCCCTCAAAGAGGTTCATGCAGAGAATCGGTTCACTGCGGTATTTTTCTCTAGTCTGTGAACTTAGCTCAGTGTTTGTCGGTATAATAAACCCGATAAAACGGGGTCCTTCTCACAAATGTGAATCTGCAGTATCGATTAATCGTCACGGTCCAGGCAACAAAGAGTGTTATTGTTCGGTAACTGCTATTTCTTGGAAATAAATGACATTCTATGCAAATTTCAGTCCGGATTGATCTGTCGTTGGATCCGCTTTGGCTGGTATCCTTTTGCAACCAGGCTGATTAACTCAACCTGTACAACCTGAAGTGGTGATATGGCACTCACATGGTTTATGAATCATGTCTTCAATCAGACATTTCATTTTTTTTTGTTCGTAGATGATAGCGAGCTCATTTTAGATAAGTAAATCTAAAGTGTAGAGTACCAAATATAAGCATAATGCTTTGAAAATAACACCTTTATGTTTGCAGCTCGTAATGCATTTCATGATAAGTTTGACCAAAAGTATCACTCTAAATGAACCGTTTTAAAGATACATTGCAGAGTTATTAGGATTACCTCAATTTTTGCAGAGCGAAATCTGTGCATATTTACAAATATAACTCATGTTTTCAATGCAGCACATTATGCAGTTACTCATTTATCCTCAATCATGCCAGCAGTGAATGAGTGTGATCTCACATGCGATCTGCTGATGTATAAGGGACTGAGCGTTGACTTAGGGTCGTTTGGCTTTCCATTTTCTCGACAACTTACGCTGATAGACATGCTTCAAAGAGACTTGCGATCAGCAAAGCCGGTGATAGGACTGCACTGTTTTATAAAGATCTAATTTAATAAAAGTTGCTAAAATCCATTGTTGTTTTGTCTTTTGCTTTTTATATATATTTTTTTATCTTAGCTGACGAATGAATTATAATTATGTGTTAATTGACAGAATGGAATGATGTCGATCTGATTTAAAGGGACGGTTCACCCAAAAATGAAAACTAATCATTTAGTCACCCTTAAGTTGTTCCAAACCTGTATGAGTTTCTTCTGTTGAGTACAAAAGAAGATATTTTGAAGAATGTGTGTAACCAAAGAGTTGACAGAAACCATTTGCTTCTATAGTATTTTTTTTTCTCTCCATACAATGGAACTCAATGGCTACCGTCAACTTGAGGGTGAGTAAATGATGACAGAACTTTTGGAAAAATTCTAAAATGTTTTTACATGTTACAGAACTTATTGTGGACGATTCATCCATATATCTTTTTTTTTTTTTTTTTTACTACGGACTTCTCTCTCTGGTGACATGCTGGACTTCTTCAGTCATTTAGTTGACTTAAACATTCCCACCAGGATTTCGTGAGACTTTTTTTCATGATTTATTTGTGGCCTAAAATGACTGAATTTGCTACGGCTTTTCTAAAAAAAAATTGTGATATTTGCGGCATTTTTTTCCCTGTTGTTTCGCAGTAAAGACAATGCTGCATAAAAGCCAGAATAAATTATGCCTGCTTTGACCTTATTCCATGGTATCAAAGTATACAATCACAGATGCTGTGTAAATGCATTTATGCCACCTCTGAGCAGCATTAAACAGTCCGTGTAAAGAAACTACTATTACCGCAAATCTTTTCACCGGTTTTTTTGTCCGATTTAAAAAAAAGGCAAAAATGCTGTCTACTGCAAATAATGCAGAGTTTGCTTGATTTTGCATTCAAAACTGCATCACAGAACCACAAAATCCTGTTTTAAACCCCGCCCACAATCGACCGCAAGCTCACATCTCAAAATCAAATCAGCAACCAGAAAATAGAATCAAGTCCTCACCTTTCATTTTTCATTATCCATTACCCTAAGACAGTGGTTCCCAATCCTGATCCTGGAGAACCCTCAACACTGCACGTTTTTGGTGTCTCTCTTATCTGACGCTCACATTTGAGGTCTTGGAGCAGGGGTGCCCAAACTCGGTCCTGGAGGGCCGGTGTCCTGCAGAGTTTAGCTCTAACCCTAATTAAACACACCTGAAGCAGCTAACAAGCTCTTACTAGTCATACTAGAAACTTCCAGTCAGGTGTGTTGAGCTCAAGTTGGAGCTAAACTCTGCAGGACACCGGGCCTCCAGGACTAAGTTTGGGCACCCCTGTCTTGGAGTCTTCACTAATGAGCTGATGAGTTGAATCAGGTGTGTTTGAATAGGGAGACATCTAAAATGTGCAGTGTTGGGGGTTCTCCAGGACCAGGATTGGGAACCACTGCCCTAAGATATGCTTCACAATATGGAAGAAAAGATCTGTGGCTACTTCCGTGACTTCAAAGTCAAAATAAAAGTGTTTGACCACGTTTATTTCCTTAATTTAACATTTATTGAATCATGAAAAACAGTAGTCTGTTTATGACATGTGGTTCAAAAATAAGAGCGCTTGGTGAAATTAGCCAAAATGCAAAGGCATATTGGAGGCGATGCAAAAAGTGACATTTTTACTATTATAATCTATCACGAAAACAAACATTTTCCTTACTTAAAATATTGAAATAATAATCAAAGATCTATTTTAAAAGTTTTTTTTCCCCAAGAATGTTTTTTTTTTTTTTTTGGTTACAATATTAGGACAGTTGTACCATCCTGACATCTTTTACCTTAAAAAATGTCAATGAATTTTAAGAAATTAAAAACATTCTCATAATAGAAGGTGTGTGCGTGTGTGTATGTATATGTATAAGTCAATTCCATTGACTCTTATTCTTTGCAAAAAATTATCATTGATACATAATTCACAATAAGACTAGGATTTTGTAGTAAGAAGGTAAATATGGTCCTCTTTTATTGTACTTTGCATTCATTTAACCAGAAAAAATAATGTAAAAAAAAATTGCATTTATGCAAAATTTTATCATCTAATATTTTATCTATAGTAGACGTTCATTAAGGATAAAGCGGTCAAGGGTATGACCTCTGAGACTGTTTGAAGAACCGTTCTGTTCTGAAAACTATAAGCCAGACTGAAAGCGGCGTTTTATTGCGTACCAGCTTATGAAAAAGTCGCACACAGTTCTTCTCAGATAACCTGCCAGTGTCCTAATCTTGTCCTTGTTGCTCGTGGCCGATTATCTCGATCACACCGTGAATTGCACCCCCTGCTATTGGTCATGTGACCTGTGCACAAAGGGTCCAGTCTTCTTCGCTTGGTCCAACTTATTGGTTTTCAGACAAAAAGAAAACAACAGAGCGATTGTAAAGATAAGACTTGGAGATAATTAACTGCAAATCCAGACTAAACAAACGTAACACTCCATCATCCATTGGTTGTGAAGAAGGGAGGAGGTTTGTTGGTGTGAAGTTGAATGATTTCTTTGAGTGTGAGTGGATGTAAAATGTGGTCTCGGTTGTGAGGACTGTTATATAAAAGGCGACCCATCTCAGTAACGTGAAGTCCAACCATGAGTCCACGCGTCTTCTCAATCTTGGTGATTTTGTGGCCAGTAATGGCTGTGGAGATGTCCACCTTGGAGGGCCAGCAGATCCTCCAAGCCTTGCACTGTCCACCCTGCGAACGCATCCATTGTTCCCCTCGTCGAGCGCTGAAGCTCCAGTGTCAGGGTGGAATCACCACTGGGATTTGTGGTTGTTGTCCAGCCTGTGCTAAACTCATGGGAGAAAGCTGTGGAGGCACCTGGGACTACCTGGGGAAATGCGATGAAGGGCTGGTTTGCATTTACCCAGAAGAAACAGGTGGAAACCCAGAAGCTCAACGCAAGGGAACCTGCAAATCAGGTACCACTGAAGCTGGAGATGTCAAGTTAAGTGGAATCACCACTGGGATTTGTGGTTGTTGTCCAGCCTGTGCTAAACTCACGGGAGAAAGCTGTGGAGGCACCTGGGACTACCTGGGGAAATGCGATGAAGGGCTGGTTTGCATTTACCCAGAAGAAACAGGTGGAAACCCAGAAGCTCAACGCAAGGGAACCTGCAAATCAGGTACCACTGAAGCTGGAGATTTAATCTGTCTAGAACAGGGGTGCCCAAACTCGGTCCTGGAGGGCCGGTGTCCTGCAGAGTTTAGCTCCAGCTTGCCTCAACACACCTGACTGGTAAGTTTCTAGTATGCCTAGTAAGAGTTTGTTTAGCTGGTTCAGGTGTGTTTAATTAGGGTTGGAGCTAAACTCTGCAGGACACCGGCCCTCCAGGACCGAGTTTGGAGACCCCTGGTCTAGATGTTATTTAGAATCTGAGGCTAAATAAAGGTTCTTCGTTGGCTTCTATGGTTCCATGAAGAACTTTGGAATCTTTTCATTCCACAAAAAGTTCTTTATATTAGGAAATGTTTCTTTAGATTATTAAAATCTTCACCCTTTTTTTTTAAAAACTGTTCGCTAAAAGCTTGAGGAACCAAAAATGGTTCTTCTATGGCAGGGGTAGGCAAGTTCTGTCCTAGAGAGCAACAGTCCTGCAGAGTTCAGCTCCAACCCTGAAAAAAAAAACTCACCTGCCTATAGCCTTAGTAATCCTGAAGACACTGATTAGCTTGTTCAGGTGTGTTTGATTAGGGTTGGAGTTGAACTCTGCAGGACTGCGGCTCTCTAGGACTGAACTTGCCTACCCCTGCTCTATGGCATCGCTGCGAAAACCCTGGTTTGGAATCTTTATTTTTAAGAGTGTAAAGTGCAAAGTTAGTTCCTGAACTCAGGGTTCTCATGATCATGGAAAAACATGGGGATATCAGGGAATACCAGATCTGAAAAGTCATTAAAATAAATAATATTTAGTAAATTTCTAAATGTAGTATTTAATTTAATTACCAAAAAAAAGGCTTTTTGGTTGTATTAGCCCCATTCTTTTTTTTATACTTTTAATTTTGTTTAGCTTTTTTAAATGCTTCTGCATTAACGAGTGGACCAGTCTTTGAAATATGTTCATCAGAAAGTGGGATCCCTGTGAATTATACAACAGCAAATATAATAATGCAACAGGGGTTTTCAAACTGGAGTCTAGGGCCTGACTGGAGAGCCACACAGGGGTCTGAATAAAAAATGTCAAATTAGAGAAAAGTTTAAATAATAATAAAAGTTGACTTTTTTTTATCATACATTTTTTAGAAAAAAAAAAAACAATTTAGTAAAATGCATCTATTTATCTAACTTTTATACACAAGACACATACAAGAATTAAATATACAAAAAGTGCTTGACAAATAAATTTGAACTTAATATTTTGCTTTACATGTAGAAAAAGTTTCATATTTGACTTATTTCTTTGAGTTCTTTTCATTTAATTTAATTTTGGAAACGTTGCCTAGTAATATTAGTATATCAGAATAAAAAAAAATTCTCACAAAATATAAATCGTTCTATATGCAATAAAATATTTAGCTGGCTTTATATTATAGGAAGGGGTCCCTTGTATGGTGGTATTTGTCGGCTCATGCCATCTAAAAGTACACCCCCCCCCCGTGGAACAATCTACTCTTGCAGAGCGTGCACCTGCTTATGGATTAACTTTACGTTCATGTTCACACTCTTGAAAATGGCACCATCAAGGTTAATCTAATTTATGAACTGTGAAAAGAGATACGGCAGTCAAGGATTGCTTTGATCTCGGAGCACTATCCCATAAAAGCAAAGCTCTGATTGTTCTTATCTAGGCGGTGATGAAATCCACAAGCTTTCCTGAAGAACTGCATCCGTATTGTAACGGGATTCCATCAGTTTTATTGTCTGTTTTTTTCTTTGACCTGCAGAACATTATTTCACAATGTATTTGATCATTTGGCCTTTTTTGTTGATTTGTCTTTCCAACCAGTGCTGGAGGTCCTCAAAGCCGACACTTGCAGACCCGAGTGCACATGGGATTTCTGCAAGACATGTTCT